GCTGTGATGCCCTGTTCCAGCCTGTACCCCCCACCCCTTCTTTCTCTGTAAGTGTCCAAAGCAACCCTGCAGCTACCTGGAGTGACAACTCACCAAGGGTTGTGGTGCTGGACAGAGTACAGCCCCGGGCACTGAGAGAGGCCAGTGAGGCCTAGATCTGCCACAACCCAGCTGGGTGGCCTCGCTGGTCACTTCTTTTCCCTGACTTACTGTATCTACCAAGTGAGGGGATTTAACTTGGTGGTCACTAAAGTCACTCACAGCTGTATAATAACAATCTACAGGGTGTTGCAGGGTAGAGGACTCACTAGCACCAAAGCTGAAGTCTATAGTACCTGCTGATTTCTTGTTCAGGTGAAGAGGAAATAGAGAAAAGACACTGATCTCAGCAAATCAGTGTGACAGGCACTTCCTTATGTTTTTGTCTTTTAATTGAACATAGATTTTTGCTATACACATTCATAAACAAGGGCCTCTACTGAATACACAGGGTAAGATGGGAAGCACTAATTCCAAAATTTCTTCTAATATGCTACAAAGCCAAACTCACTTCACATTAGTCCTCAAACTCCTCCCAACACATGAAACTTTGAGCTTTCAGAGGAGTATTAGTTATTTTGGCCCAATTAGGATTAATCAGGGAACACCACACTGTGTCCCATGACTTCCTGCCTGTCTTGTTCCCTGCTGGGACCCAATCCTAAGGGCTCCGAGGGAAAGGAGGTGCTCAAGAGTCAGTAGGGTGGGCTGCAGTCCACACCGTATCGCCTACTAGCAGCACTGGCCTTGGCAAGTCACTGGTAACCGTTTTCTGTAAACCAGAGGTAACAGTTGCCCACTTCATTAGACTGTAAGAACTGAATGAGAAAAGAGTAGGAGAGTACTCTGTAAACACAAGTGATAGGGAAGTTACCATTACCATTCCTTTCCAAAAAACCCCTCCAGTTTAGCTGGGAAACTTGCCCTACACCAGTGCCTGCTGCTTGCTACCTCCAAATGCTCTCTTCACTTAGTACAAACTATGAGCTTTCACACTCTGGCTGCCCCACCTGTGAAACTCTTCTCTTCTCCTGGACCCAGCTGGAACCCTACCCACATCCTACCCACCTACTAAGGTTTCCTGACATCCCGTCCAGAGGGCTTATTTCCCCTTCTGAACTCTAGGGCTCTGGGGCCATTCATCTGGCACTTTATCATGTGGCACTTAGGACTCTTAGTTCACTTTTCAAGTTTGTGGGATTAGACCCACATTTAATGGAGGAGTTCTGTGTCTGGTTGTTTAAAACAAAAGTAAATTCTCCCATATAAATGATGTTTTTAAAAAACCCAGCTAGGTTCCATGGCCAGTCCACAAACACTGTTTCAATAAACAATATGTACCAGTATGGTTCTCTTAACAAAGGCTTTATGAAAAAACTCAGAGCAGCTCAATGTGGGATTTAAGGCTTAACAAATCTCATGTTAAATCTATCTTCTCCACCTAGCTCAGGCTGTTTTGAAATTAATGGTGGCAACACACACACACACGCGCGCGCGCGCACACACACACACGCACACACACTTTTCTGTTGCTTTCTCAGAGACTGACTGATGTAAGAAGACAGAATATAGAACGTCAGGAAACAACAGGCAAGCAAAAACCAGTGATAACTGACTTGGTGGGGTTTGGGGGAGGGCAGAGGTGTTTGGAAAACCTCACTTTATTTCAGTCAGAGGCGAGTGCTTAGTCTGGCCAGGAGCAAGGCAGAACACTGGCCACTGTGGTGAGAACCATTCTTCACTGCAGATGCCCATGAAGGGAGGTGGCAGGCAATGGTGAGCGTCTCAAATGGGTTATGAGCTGTGGGCAGAACATTACCACCAAAGTGCAGGCCTGATATGCCAGGGGCTCCTCTCTCTCATGTCAACGCTGCTGCAGGGCAAACCTTCACCCCTCAAGTCTCATCCTAGTCTGGCCCTGAGATCTAGGTCTAATTACTAAGTGGCCAGCACAGATTCTGTGCTCACACTTTTATCTGCCAATCCGATGCTAAAGTAAAGGGTGGGTCTGTATTTTTAAGGGATTTTTCAAGTGAGACCTTTATGGAGACTTATAGACCATAGTGATTTCAGAATAAGAAATGAGAAAAGAATAGTTTTCTTTCTAATCAATCTAATCCTGACTAGCAGAAGCTTCCTGGCCCAGCCCTCAGTCTTCTCACTGCTCTATGAGCTGATACACCTGAGGCTGAGAGGGAGCAGACACTTCTGGACACAGATCATAACCAGGCCAGGACCCGAGATCTCTGCCTTCTGATGTTGCTGAGTAGTTCAAAATCAAGTTCCTTAACAACCCAAATGCCTACATAAAACTTGCTCATATTTAACTCAAATATTATTGAGCCAAAATCCAGGGTGGGGTGAGGGTGGCATTGTCTGGGTCACTAAACTAATGTTTCTTTGAACTTTAATCAGAAAACACACATGCACACAAACACACATTTCCTCCTCTGTAAAGGAACTGGCTCTAAGAATCTATTAATAAAGTAAATTGAATCACCTAGTCCCTCAAACATTTATCTGCTAGCTACTGCCAAGCTGGCGGTTAAGTGCTGGGGCTAAAATGCTGGTTGACAAAGACTGGGCTCCAGATAGAGTGCAAATGTTTATGTTACCCAGGGTTTTGGACCACTGGTGCAGAAAGCTCAGCTAATGTTATCTGATGACACACTTAGCTGGGGACATTCATTTACCCAGGCCTGGAAGCTCTAACCACCTCATTAGTTCTGGAATCTGAATATGCAAGGAGCCTTTGGGGCAAGCTCTCATGGAGGTCTCCTGCAGGGAGGATCTTTAACTTGAGGCCTTGGCAACCTCCACAGCCAAAGGCAGTGTGTGGTGTGTTTCCTTTCCAGGAAGTTCCACGAACCAAACAGACTATGAGGCCAAAGGGACTTAAAATCTCCAGTCCAGATGAACAAGAGCTTTAGAGCACTCTATCTGTGGTATCTTTATTTTTGGAAGAAAATTAGACTGGCCAACCTATATAACCCAGGATGGCTGTGAAGAATGGGTAATACAAATGAAGGCACTTGGGGCCTTACCAAGTTCTGTAAAACCACTGACACGGACTGCTTAAGAGCTTGGAGATGGTAGCCACTGTACCATCTTCTCCATCCTTACTCTCCTAGGTATCTGGGTTCACAAAAAAACTTACTGCTAGCAAATAAGGAGAGGAGTGGGAGATACTCATACACATCTAAGAATTACGCTTTACTGGTTTTTCTCCCTACTTATACTTTTCTTGCCCTGTTCAAAATAGCAACGGGCCTGATCCCATTTATTACGGAGACATTATCAAGGACACAATCTTCTTGGTATAAAATTATTATGGGTCTTTAAAGGCAAACAATTTACTCCCTACAGCCTAGAAGATTGGACCCTATTGTAACAAAAATAAATGTTCAGACTAATTCCTATCCATGTGACCTTTAATGATTTTTTTTAGCTACTTTCAAAACACCATTTTTCCACTCCACACACACACACAAAAAAAATCAATAAATAATCATACCAGGTTAAATACTAAGAAACAAAAAAACGTTGAGAGGCAGACAAAGGAAGTCTGGTTATAAAAATTATATTTAAAGCTGCATATCACAATGATTCTAGTCTAGGCTCTCAAACAAGATTCACGTTGGAAAAACAAATCAAAATGCAATAAATGGCCTACTCAAACTCCCCGTGTGGGCCCACTCCCTCACCCCCACACCACAAACCAACTGCCTTCTTATAGCTGTCATGGTTCTGAGCAGGGGCCTCCTTTATTTGTCTAGTGTGACCCACAAACCCTCACAGAAAATGAGGCCACTAGACGTACATGCTCAGGAACAAAGGGCATGGATGAAACTCACTACAGAGAAGACAGGGCTTCACTATCTTCTGGAGATCCCTGTTCTTGAACAGGAGGGCAGGGAAGAGAATACTCTTCTGGCTCCATTTTTACCCAGACTCAAAGAGGCAGTCTGTCTGTGGGCTGCTAACAAATAGGACAAGGTACAACCTTAGACCCTTGCCTGCGGTAAGAGGTGTGGGGCTGGTCTGCACACAGGCCCACTGCAGCTGGCAAGCTACAGGGTGGAGATCAAGTTAAAAATAAGGCTTTCTGGCAACCCTGCCAACCGCCAGCATCATATTTTCCTGGTGATGTCAGTGCAGCTGTGGTCTCCATCCCTGGGCGTTGGCTTCTGGCTCAGACCCACCTCTACCTATGGCACTCACTACATGTGCTCTGGGAGGATACAGCAACCATTTTCAAACCAAGGCGAGACAAAACCTGTTGGATCAGTCACAGTGACTGCTTTAAGCTTTAGTTTAAGGTGCATAAACAAGAGTCACATTAAAGAGGGCCACAGCAGCTCTGGGAAACAGATTGGGGATACAATTTTCACTGCAGGCTGACAACTTTCCTGCCTGAAAAGGCAGGGTGAATTCATCAGAAGCTCTGTTCCCAAGGAGATGACAAAACACCAGCCTCTCCCTCCACCCCTAAAATAAAAAGTATGCAAGGAAGAAAACGTCAGTGACCACTGAATTCAATGCTTGCCACCTTAAGATGGCAGCTCAGATTTTCTAGACAACCAGAAAGACGCAAATTTGGAAAACATTCCATCATCTCATGTGGGACACGGGTTCGTCTAGAAACCAGCGCCCAAGCCTGGCCCTTCAAATTCCAGCACCATGCCCTGTTTAACAGGGACCCCAGCCAAGTTCTTTCTGACCAAAGGTGGCAATCTTGCAAATTACCAGAACAAAGCGGCTTTATAACAGCTCAAGAACATCACCCAGGCTTGGAATGTGACACTAAGGCTTTCCGTGAAGCGCTCAACTCACTTCTCAAGATTCTCCTCAAAACTATCAATCATCAACTGCAGAATGCAACAGGAGACAAGTCCACATTTGATTTTTCAAAAATGTTTTCCCACCTACAATGCATGGCGCTTCCTAAGATCCCCACTCACCAGCCTCTCTCCAGAGAGGACCTCCAGCAGCTTGATGAGCATCCGTCCATCTCGAAGGTCAGTGTACAGGTCTGTGATCCGGCAGGACACTCGGGCAAGGTGGGAATTGACCCACTTGGTGAAGGTCTTCTTCTGTACGGCTTCACGCTCATCTGCAAGCAGAGCAGAACTTGTTTTACCATTGACCACACATTGGCAGGAGCAGGCACATGCTAGCAGGGCCACAAGACCCCAGCCAGAGGAAGGTCAGCAAAACTGAACTCCAAGGACACCTCTACTTAGCACCCCTTAACTGCAGTCATATTTTTGAGAAAGAACACTGATTATTGATGGTTCAACTTACAATTTTTTGACTTTACGATGTGTTTACTGGGATATAATCTCATAAGTCAAGGAGCATCTGCGTAGGAACTGTCCAGTCCTTAAACATGTGAGCGCCCAGGCCCATTGCCAGCAGAATATCCTTTGCTCCTCTTTCTTTTCTCCCATCCCTGCTGAAGAGGCAGCAGGATGCAGATGACAACAAGGTCCTTTGCAGTCTTGCCCTATACCATAATACTTGACTGGTAAAATTTCCAACGTACATGTTACAGCTATTATTCCTCCAAAAGGTGGGTATACGAAAGAGTGTAGGGTAGGAAATCTCAAGAGACAGCAGAAAACTGCTTCCCTCATCTACAAAGGATTGGGCAACACTGGACAAGGTAAATTCACTCATGACCTTGATTTGCAATGACCCCCTTCACCTGCTCAGTCACACACACCACGAACAACAAAGAAAATGGCAGGCAACATGGTAGAGTGCAAAGACACTGCAGGCAACAGGAAAGCAGGGTCTGGGCCCAGGGTTTCAACAAAAATGTGATTCAACAGAGGATTCAATGTTCTCTTCTATAAAAGGAGAAGAAAACTATAATCTCCATACTGTGATCCTTTGCTGAAAAGGCAACTGTTGATTTATGGTCTAAAGTGTGATTGTTGTACATTCAAGTCATCCAGGAAACAGTGTTACACGTTTTTCAAGGCTCAGTGATCAAATTATGTCCAATTTAAAGTATAAAACTCTAGACATATTTGCCCAGAACTGGCCTTCATATACCATATAAACAGGCTTTCAAACTTCTTGCCTCTGCAGAATGTTCGAAACATAGGGCGCTGAAGACCTTCAACAGACATCCACAGAATATGCCCCGGACCCAGCCACTCATACTCCTGACTCTGTTCTCTATGTTACATACCCTATATCTAGTTCCACCAGTATGAATTTATGCCAAGAATCTAAAACCTACTCCTAGTGCAAACCCAAACCACAAAAATGATTATGCATGAATCTACAAAAAAAGCAGATACCTCAACAATTTGGCATGTATTTCAAAACCACTGGGCGGGGGTAACAACTAAAAAGCCACCCTTGCTAATAAGGCATGTGCCCAGTAGCCTGAGAGTACTGGGTTCTCAGGTTGGCCAGAAGGAGAGCAAACAGCCCTTCAGGAAGGTCTGTCTGAAGGCTTTGCTGAACTGACTCCACCACCCACCACAGGGAGGGAATGAGGCACAGATGACATTGGTTGAGGTTTTACAGCTGCCGACCTGGCAGGAGAGTCAACTGGGGCACCTGCCAAGATCCCCGGCCACCTGCTACAGTCAGCGGCTCCTTGAGGTCCTGCCTTTCCCAAAAAGGAACTACCCATCCAGACAGAAAGAGGGCCCTTCCCCAGAGACAAAGGCCAACCAGAAACACAGGATCAAAAAGGACAGGATTAGGGGAAGGAGAAAAACACAGTGAGGGGCAGGCTGCAGTGGAGAAGAAGCTGCACCAATAACATCATGACAGGTCCTACAGAAAAGACCACATGCATTATTGATCATGCAATCATTGTGATGGATGGCAACTTTACTACAGTGACTCAGGAGCTGTAATTCTGGGGCTAAGCTTGGCCGTTCTGAAAGAGCAGGTCTAGAGCAGAATACATATGGTGCATTTCACAGATGGCCTCTTATCGAGGAGGCAAGTTAACTCCTAGTTTATATGTATTTAGGGTTAACAAATTTTTTTTGTGAATTATAAAATCCTTTATGCGTTATACTGGAGTCAGAAAATGTCTTTAATGAAGCAAGGGAGCAAGATCAAAATGAAAACCTGCTTGGATTAAAGTATTTCTAAATAAACGAGCACAAAATGTGTTCCTCAGCCAATTGTCACTCTTTTGGGTGAATCACTCACTAAAGGTGCACCCCAACTTCTTTCAGGTTTTAAATTAACAGCTTCCTTTACAAGGAAACTCTGAGGATTTGCCAGAAACAACAGTCAGTAGACTTCCTTAGTACCCTCTCCTAAAGAGTTACAGCCCAACTCCAATCCTCCTCCCCACAGAGAAGCAAATGGAGGGGTCACGGGTGGGTGCAGAGAACAGAGCTGAAACAGACTGAGATCTGTGCTGCGAGGGCTCCCCAGGCTACCACGGTTCTTAGAAACTCAAGGTAGATGTGAGTAAAGAAGAGGGGGAAGAGATGTCAAAAATAAAAAAATAAGCTGTTGCGTTCCTGCCCTCTCTTCCTGTTCCCCTCCCTTCTAACTCTCCTCAGAGTCAGGAGCAGGCCCCGGGAAGTGCAAGAGTGCTGGAAAAATCACGCAGGGTCTAAGTTCCTCAGGTTCACACCCTCACACTGGAAAAGACATAGAAGATTCCATCCAGGGACCAGACCAGAATCAACACCCTCATAACACAAGAGGAACAGGAAACGGACTCAACAGAGACACACAAAGCCCCAGCCAACGAGCGTGTCCTCTTACAATGGAGCGCTTGGTGAACAGCAAATACTTCTGAAGCCAGAAGGAGGGAGACAGAGGGGAAAAGAAATCTACTCGGTGGCTCAGTAGAGGATGAGGCTGCGTGTCCTTGGGGACTCCCTCCTTTGTTCTAGACTTCCTGGGAAGGCACAATGATGTCACCCCCGCACTCCCCACCCAGGAAGACTGGGGGAGATGGGCCAGACGTCTGAGGAGGAGCACGAGGCCCTTGGCACGGATGATGAAAGGCAATCCAGGAGTGCTTCCAAGCTCAAGCTGCTGTGACTGGGGTTAGCCGCGTGAGGAGGTGTTGGGGCAGCAGAGGGCAGTGAGCTGACTTCCAGCCCTATGAGCATGAAGCAACCGTGGTGATACAAGAAGCACTTACAAGCTCCATACTGGTTTGGTTATTTAGACCCAACGTTCTCCAGCAGGGGCAATTTTGATTCCTCGGCACATTTAGCAATTTGGCAATGTCTGCATACATTGTTGATGGTCACGATTCAGGGGTAGATGCTACTGGCATTTAGAGGGTAGAAACTCAGGATGCTGCTAAACATCCTAGAGTACACAGGATGGCTCCCACAACAAAGAATTATCCGGCCCAAAATATCAGCAGTGCAAGGTTGAGAAATCTTGGAATACACTCCCCAGAGAGCGCCCCCACCAAGTTGGGTTGCTATTCTTTCATCATTCTCTTTGATGATCTGCAGGTCAGCTCGAAAGCAGCAGAAATGCCCTGCCTTCAGGCCCACTCATGCCACCAAGGGCACGCCCTTTGCAGGGCAGAGGAGCAGCAGCACCAGCAGCAGGGAGCCGGGGCGGGATGGGTTTGGGCGATGCGAGGTGGGCACTTCTGTGCCTCACACCATTTCCATTCTCCTTTTACCATTTCTGGGCCTTGTATTGCTGTTATCAAGTCCTCTCCAAGAAGGTGATGCAGGTAAACCTTTGAGTAGGTTCCCAGCCAGCCCTGCCCCAAATTTGGTAAGTGGTGCCTCCAAGGAACAAGCACTTCTGTGCCCTTGCCCTCTGGGGGTATCTCTCAGCTGTATTTGCCCCCTCTACCCTCCCGCAGTTTACTAAACTTACATATTATAAGGACTCATCTAAAGACTGCCCAGCACCAAACAAGGGGAGATAAAGTGCATGCCAAAGTGTCCAGAGTGTTGTAACTGCTCTAAATTAGTTCCTTCTCCTTTTCTCTAGCAAAGAAATAGTCTCATTAATTCAAATCATTTAAGAAACTGGCCAGGTGCAGTGGCTCACGCCTGTAATCCCAGCACTTTGGGAGGCTGAGAGGTGGATGTCCTGAGGTCAGGAGTTTGAGACCAGCCTGACCAACACGGTGAAACCCCATCTCTACTAAAAATACAAAATTAGCCAGGTGGGCCTGTAATCCCAGCTATTTGTGAGGCTGAGGCAGGAGAATCGCTTGAACCCAGGAGAAAAACGTTGCAGTGAGCCAAGATTGTGACATTGCACTCCAGCCTAGGCAACAAAAGCAAAACTCTGTCTCAAAACAAGAAACTTACCAGAGGGTCATGCAATCGTAAAATCTCAGGACTGAACAAGCTTTAGAACTTACCTAAATTACTTTTCTTTCAAAAAATCCCTTCTTCAACACCTGGGCCAGCTATTTAAAAAGTCCAGAACATGAGGAAATTATATGTGTGGCAGAAGGTTGTTTAATAGTTGTATGGAAAGAAAATGACTTGTTTTTTCTTTTTTATTAAAATATAATTATAGCATTCACTGAGCACTTACTATGTCCCAGGCACAGTCGTCCTTCAGTATCTAATCCCAGTAGCTACAGGGAATTTGTTCCAGGACCTCCCTCAGAAACCAAACCTCTTATGCTCAAGTCCCTTATATAACATGGTATAGTATTTGCCTATAACCAACATACATCTTCCTGTATACTTTAGATCATCTCTAGATTATTTATAACAAATACAATGTAAGTACTGTGTAAGTTGTCATATTGCATCTTATTTGTATTACGTTCTATTGTATTGTTAATTTTTTTCCAAATATTTTCGATCTGTTGTCAGCTGAATCCACAAATGAGGAATCTGCAGATACGGAGGGCTAACTGCACTTATAATCCCCACAACTGCCCATGAGAGTTGTTAGGAGCTAACAACTCTCCAGGCAGGCTGGCTCCAGAGCCTGGGTCCTCACTCACTATGCAATAATGTCTCATTCACAACATTTAAAAAAGTGTTTCCACCAGATGCAGCGACTTACGCCTATAATCCCAGAACTTTGGGAGGCCGGCGGGAGGATCATGAGGTCAGGAGTTCGAGATCAGCCTGAACAACATGGTGAAACCCCGTCTCTACTAAAAATACAAAAATT